ATGAACCAGCAGTTCATGTACAACAATGCGAACGGGAACCCCATGTTCCCTGCATCTGCTCCTACTACGGAGTCTGTATCCGCCTTCAGCAGTGCGACCAGTCCTTTTGGGCACATTGATCCGACGCAAGTCTTTCAGCAAGATCATTCGGTCCGCTCACCTGGCATGTCCCTGCCGAATGAGGGCATGTTCAGTTTTGGTGCCGACTCGGACGAGGAGGATGGTGGTGCATTCGCCGATCGCAACATGGTCATGAACCAAGACTTCTCTCCCGGGCCCATGGACGACGGCAGCTCGCTAGGCTGGGATCCTTCTCTGCCAGGGCAGTACAGCACGCAAGCTGCACGCTACCCGGGCGGGCCGCCTCGCAAACAAGTCACCATCGGCGGCACCACTACAGACTACGTCGACAACAACGACTGGGAAGGCGGCAACTTGCCGCGATCTCAGTCGCAGTCTTTCCGTCAAGGGTCAGATAGAAGAGGCAGCAAAGTTCCGCGCACCGCATCAACTCCAGCAGGGCACTTGGGAAGGAATGGAAACCCTTTCGACCGCATGGCACAGTCGACACCGAATTCGCCCCCCGAAAACAACGGCACCGTCTCAGGCTATTCATCCGTGGCTCCGAGCCGACCTTCGTCGCCGCCTGGCTCTAAGTCTGGCTCGACAACGAACTTGCAGGCTGCAGCGGGCAACCAGGGAGAGGGAAACACGCCGACGACTTGCACGAACTGCTTCACTCAAACAACGCCCTTGTGGAGACGAAACCCTGAAGGCCAGCCCCTTTGCAATGCCTGCGGTCTGTTCTTGAAACTCCACGGTGTGGTGCGACCTCTGAGTTTGAAGACGGATGTTATCAAGAAGAGGAACCGTGGCTCGGGAGCAAGTCTGCCGGTCGGCGGCACGAGTACGCGGTCGAAGAAGAACGCCGCTAATTCGGGCGTTGGCTCACGAAAGAATTCGACCCTGGCCATCTCCTCTACGCCCGTCAACACCGCCACTACACCACCTGCTGCTGTCCGTGCTGGCAGTGCGAACGAAGGCGAGAGTCCCGCAAGTGGAGCCGCATCCGGAGGCAACACTGCTGGTAGCACGCCTACCAGCTACGGAACGGGCTCGTCTACCGGCGCGGCTGCTGGTGGCAAGGGCGTTGTGCCGATTGCCGCCGCGCCGCCAAAGAACACACCGGGTCCTGGCGCCGCCTCCCTACCCCGGAACAGTGGCACTTCGTCCTCCTCCGGATCATCAAAGCGCCAGCGCCGCCACAGCAAGAGTGCTGGCAGCGATGTGCTCTCTGGCATGGAAGTCGACAGCCCCGAAAACTCGACGGGTTCAAACGAGGCTGCGAAATCTCTCGGGTCCACTGGTTTTACGCCTATGCCAACAACAGGCTCCCTGGGTTTGGCCAACGGTCTCGGCATGACCCAGCGTCCCATGATGGGCGCGGGCATGATGGGAATGCCCGGTGGACAAAATGGGCCGATGATGAACCCTGGTGGTACGGCATCCGGTCCTCAAGAATGGGAGTGGCTCACGATGAGTTTGTAAGGCCCTGCGACGGACCACTCGCACGGCATCACACGGAATGCGCCATATTTGAATTTCAGCGTTTTCTTGCGACTTATAGAATCAGCGGTGGGGTACACACTCTCTCCCCACTCTCGGGTCGGAGTTCGATTTGAGGATCGGGCCATGCTTTCTGCGCTGTTTACGAATTTTGCTTGATACCAGACCTTGATATCGGTCCTTACGTGGCGGTTGTCTGTCTTTTTGGCCAGTTGAACAGGGAACATAATGGGGTTGAACGGCTGTATTGCGCAAGTCTGTTCTCTTGGATCAGAGGCACCCTCGGGATGCCTGATCTGCGAGCGATATCCCAGCTAATGCGCTGAGTAATGGTGGCTTATGCGTCAGGCTGTAGACGCCGAAGATGATGATGTTTTTACGGAGGAGCAACGGTTCTCGAATTACGAGCATGACCTGGGTTTGTTTTATTTTACCCGAGCGCGCGGCCACCATCTGGATCTTCTCCAGATACGTTGGGAGGGACGAGCTTTCTGCTTCCAAGCGTTCTAGAGCGGCGTCTTTGAAAGACCTGGGTGAGCGCCGGATATACTGGTCCCCCTTGTACGCAGAGGGTGAGAGGGTTTCACGGATTGGTCAATTTCATGTTTTTATACCTAGAGCCACGCATCGGATGATATAAACTGAGATACCTCTTTTATGCCTCAAACTTGTATTGCTAAGTTAGACCCTGCGATGTGTCAATGTGGACGCTGGTGATGGTCATGCCTGTCGTAGCCGATGCTGAGTTCGTGCGACCTTGAAGGACTACATACTGAGGCTTCGGCGTTTTCGCCCCACCCCCGGAGCACTGCGGGGATATACTTCGCTCCGTCGCCGGTTCCCAAGGTACGCTTGATAGGCCGGTCTGGAACACACCCTGGCAGACGGGCCCGAGATCACCAGCCTCCATTGGGGCATGTTGCTCCACCCTCCCAGGTTATTTCCGGCCACCCACAACAAGCGCCGTCACCACCTCCCTTGCCAACCTAAACCAACGTATTGATATCAGTAAAGGGTTCCCCTTTGGTTTCTTTGGAAGCAAATGACGAATTTATAACGAGGTGAGGAAGAGGGACAAGGCTTACACAGGATCCGTGACTGCACTTGTAATTCCGCCCGTTTGCCCACTGGCACGAATCTCCATTGCAAAGCTACATGTTTCCGGCCATGTTAGAAGCATTTATACAGCGTGCCGGAAATCTGGGGGCTGTACTCGACACCGTAATTTTTCCAACCGCGCGGGCATCCCTTTCCCGTCAAGTAGGGTGAATCGGGCGAGAGGGGATGACGTTTCGACGGCTTTGCGGCGGCTTCCCCTCCTAGAGCGACGGCGAGGGCCAAGATGAATGCCAATTTCATCATGTAAGGTCTGTTTTCTTTTCTTGTACTTCTTCTCGAGATAGGTCCTTTGAGATTTGTAGGCGTTCTTGTTTTCCTCCCCCCTCTTCGAGCTAGCTGTGCGGCGAGTTTTCCGTCGCTTATGCGCCTGGTTTCACGTCGAGTTGCAAAGGTCACAATCCTGACAGACCACAGAGAGGTTGATGATATGGAAATGGCGGGGCCAGCCCTAAAGGACTGGTGCCCGTCGCTCTGGCTTTGTGGCTTTGGTCATGAGGCCCGACTGCAGTCGACAAGGTTGCTTCTTTGAGTTCGCCGTGGCTTGGCGAATACCGGGGGCCATTGTTCAAGCACGCGTTCGACGTATGAGATGCGATTGGATAGTGATCTCTTCCCGTTGGTGTGTCTGTGTCTTTCGCTGCCATCAGCTGTAGACGAGATTATCAATTCGATCTTCTCTCCGTTACATATTTCATGTTGAAAGAGGGGGTTTGCAAACGGGAATGGCCGTGTTACCGACAACGCTATTTGATTTTCGATCCTGCAGGATGAGCAGGACTAGAAAGCAACACCCACTTACATCTCGACCCAACCACGGGAGTATCCGAGGAAGACGGGGAAGAGGGAACTATCTACGCCTGCGTGATGCATCTCCGCCACGATCCAATAGCCCTCCAGCATCGCGAGCAGACCACGCTGGGGAAGAAGAAATGTGCCGACGTCTCTCGGCTTTTAGTCTTTCAATAATTTCGAAGTATGCTACTTTGTCCGGACAGACGCAGACGGTGTTCGTGTCTACCGCAGCCCTTCTCGGCTCAGCCCTATGGTCGTTGGCTTCGTCCTCGAGAAGAGGGGCCCCGCGTGTGTATGCCAAGTATAAGAAGACCGTACTCGTATGTCTTTGGATCACGTCTCGCATGGTATGACCTGCGTGCTGACCTTCTATAATACATCCTGGCGCCAGGCTTTCACAAAAGTTCTCATCTCCCAATCCTTGAACCACCGCCATAGAGAAATTCCTCGTCATAGCCCACCTAGCCCGCCAAACGCCGCCTCATCCAAAGAATACAAACTAAAACCCCACGGCTCATTCGACAATGCGACCGTCCACTCTCCTCGCCGGCTTCGCCCTAGGTGGCGTCTTCGCGCATCCCTCAGGGCATGATAAGCATCTGCAAGAGCAGCGAAAAATCGCCGCTGGACTGCCCAAGCCAATGTTCGTCAGCGTCGCGCTGCCACCAGCGGTCTATCTAACGCCGCCGCCGGGTGTGCAGAAAGCAGAGGTTATCAGGGTCTGCAAGTCTCAGTTCGGAACTGACGATTTGGAAAAGTGCGCGGAGGCGATGAGGCAGACGGGCCCCCGGGCTTGAAGGTTTGGCAGATTCTTGTCAGGGGCGGTGGTTCGTTTGGGAGCGCTGTGTAGGGACGAAGAGGTGGTGGGAGGGAAGGGCGGAGGGTTATCTGGGTTGGGCTGGGATCTCAAGGTGCGCGTGCGATGGGCGATGCGTGGTGTATGTGGTAATTGACGTGGACAAACTGTAGGAGGACTACTTCGAATTCATCTAATCACTATTGCTCTTGTGTATGAAGGTGCGGACACTCTGAGCAAGGCTCTCGTCTGAAAAGCCTGCGCTACGAAAAAGTGTTTTTGTGCTTAGTAACGGGAACTTGATGGTTTCAAGCAGAGTCTGGATAGCAGGGCAGTATCGTAGACACGTCATACTTGCACAAGGACGACAGCAGTAGAGACAACAACAGGAATGGTAATAACAATAACGAAGATGTACGATAATAGATGATAATAGATGAGGATAACATAGGAATAACAAGTAATGACGACAGCGATAGCGACGACATAGCGAGCACATAAGGAATATATTTGCTTTAGTGGAGGACAAATAGATTATAGATCTGTGTAGATATTGCCTAGATAGGTAACTGACACTGCCTGGATGGCTAACCAATACTACCTAGCTAGCAAAACTCCCAGAACTGTGCCCAAAAAAGCATACCCCCTTCCCCTCACTGACTGTTACCGACTTGAAATAGATGCAGCATTGTCAAACTTGCTTCTCCGTGAGCCACTTGGGCGATCATTAGGCTTGGAATTCCTTGCCAATAAGGCCCTCGTGTTTCTTCTCGTCATCCTCGTCAAGGTTGACGAAGGCGTCAGAGATGTCTTTGTCGTCAAAGACGTCTTCGTTAAGGACGTCGTCGAGGCCGTCGAAGAGGTCTTCGTTAAGGACGTCGTCGAGGTCGTCGAAGAGGTCGCCGAAGTCGTCGAGGTCGTCGTCGGAGTCGTCATCCTCCTCGATATCCTCCTCGACATCCGTCTCGACATCCGTCTCGATATCCGTCTCGACAGCCGTCTCGACATCCTCCTTGACATCCGTCTCGACATCCTCCTTGACATCCGTCTCGACATCCTTCTTGGCATCCTTCACGTCACTCTTCTTGACATCCTTCTTGACATCCTTCTTGTCATCATCCTTGTCATCCTTGAACTTGTCGTAGATGGTGTGGGCCCAGAAAGGCTCGCTCATGAGGGGGCAGTGTGCACAAGCGCCGTCTTGTTCATCGACGGCGTAGTCTCTGCAGAGGATGCCTCCCCACTCGTTCTGGGTCACCTCCCAAAAGGTGGATGCGACCATGCCCTCGTTACATCTAACGCTGTTCTCGAACCTCCAGGCGAGGTCGCCCTCCTCCATGCCGCAGAAAGGCTTCCAGGTCTCAAACGAGTTGGGCGTGCAGCTGCGTCATCCGTGTTAGCCATGTCCATCCAAAGGACGGGATGGGGCTTGTGATGGAAAGGAAAGACTTACATAAGACCCCATCTTCTCAGGTTCTCCCAAAATCTATGGCAGAAGGAGCCGGCGTCGCCTTTGAAGTCCTTGATCCGGATATGGAAACGCGACCGCCGTCCACCACCGACTTGTCTCCCCCTGCTATACTTGCACTTGGATCGGGCGTCGGGCGCATCCCAGGGTCCCGGGGGCACGATGCCTTCTGATCCGTGATAGTAACCAGCGTTTGACGGCCACCCAATGGCCGCGACGCCCGAAATTGCGGTCAGCAACAACGTGGCTGCGAAGGCGAACTTCATTGTAGCGTTGTAGTTGTAGTAGTACTAGTAGTTGTTGTTGTCGTTGAAATCATGCAGGTAATGTTGGGGTAAAAGTTGTATAGAAGGGAGAAGTTGTTCAGAGAGCAAGTGAAGAGTTTGGCGGCGAGCATGTGTATATATAAGTTTTTGGCATGAGATGTCAAGGTAGCTGAAGCTTCTTGCAATCTACCGTGTGGTGCCTCGGGCTATCATACTTTGATCTGGGGCGCGAGGAACTCGCAGAGGTTGACTATCCAGGGCCATGGACGGCCTCGTCAAAAGGCAGCTTGGCAACGTCTTCTCAAGTCATGAAAGCGAGAGTCGTTCTGGACCGTTCGACTTTCTGTCATGTGAAAACTTGAATTTCTGGTCCGGCTTACCTGGAGTTCGTCGTACCAAGCTTGAGCTGCATGACGTAGGAAGATGGCCGCAAGTGAGAAGTATCCTTCGAACAAATGACCTCGATATAATAAGGTGGTGGCAAAAATCACCAGGCATGTTCTCGCTGGTAGCTCCTCTGAGTCTACATCTTGGGTTCCCTTGGTGGTCCATCCAGCCACTTTCTCCTTCCACCTTTTCTTGGCTGTTTGGAACTCCTGGATAGTCTTATCAAGGAAAGGAGCTAATGGGCCAAAAGTAGCCACCTATGACCAGCGTATGCAACAGGACTTGTTGATGGCCAGGAGCGAAACCCTTGGTAACCTGACTCCCTCCGTGTTAGAGTCGCTAGGAACGATCCAGTATCTCGACCACACTGTCTTGGGACCTTTAGTATCTCGATGTGGGGATGTCTCTGGCTGCAACCTGTTCGTCCGTCAGCAGCCACCAAACCCTCACCGAGAGAATCATAGCACGATGCTAGAACCCTCAAAGGTATTGCCAGTCACCAGAACATAGACCAATCGAGTGGCAATATCAACCGCAACTGTCCTCTCAAGATCTTGGTCGAGCAAGTTACCGGCAATGGCGTGGCGTCGAGTACTAGGCAGACTTTTTTCAACGATACGCTTTTGTAACACCAGCTCACGTCGTGGTCAAGTAAGTTCTTGATGAAGTCGTGACTCAAACTTGAGCGTGGGGTTGATCCGGGTTGTAGTCCTTTGGTAAATCAGTCTCTGCGGTGTTTCGCTGTCTCCTTCTGGACCAGCTAAGTATGCTTCGAAGCGCAATAGCGTTCGAACGGGTGTCCGTCGCAGACAAGAATGACCAACTGGACACAACGGAGATGTGGATTCGACAAAGCTGGTTGCGGTATCTGACATTTGCCACCAAGGTCAGCTATCTCGTCACGGCAGGGAACAGTAAAAGTGTGCGTGTAGCAGGAGAAAACAGTCATATATTTCTCCTCGAGCGAGGGACCAGCTGGCCCAGGACATTCCGGAACGTAAAGGCAGTCAAACATTGCGCATGCGGGCGTGGCGAAGTAAAGACAATGAAGCAGCATGTAAAATGAATTTCCCCATTTCCGATTTGAATGCCAGAAAACCGAAATGATTTTTTACGTATTTCTGCAGTACGCATTCGTGTTTCTCTTTAATGCCAATCGTCGAGCCGAAAGGGGCGGGGAGACTTCCTCCACGTTTGCAGTGCGTGGGCACTTCCTCCGACGCCGAACGGGGGCATTTTTCCCATAAAAAAGATTTCTCCATTGTTCGCCAACCACCACCCTTTTTAACAACGTCCCGTCGATTCCACCCTCATGTCGGTGTGGGCACAAACGTTCCTAGAGTCGTATCGAATGCATTGTGGGAAACAGAAAGAGGGCAGGGTGCTTAAGAGCCGGGGTTGGGGTTCATCTGTGAGTCGGTGGCGTTAGTCAAATCTGTGTTTATCGTCGAGGGTTTCTGAAGACGGAGCGAGTCTTCATCGAGGGAATAGTACCTTGCGCTTGCCACCGGTGAGGGTGACGTTCACGAAGCGGCGGGTGTATGTGAGACGCTTCTTCGCGCGGCCCTTGGGGGTCTTCTTCTTCTCCTGGGGCTCAACCTTGGGGCTATCGAGAATGTCAGCATCTCGTCGTCTTTCATCGATCAAATATCCCAGCAAAAAAGAAGCCCGGTCGGTCATTCGTTTTCTCATCGTCCCTAAATCTTCTGTCGTCTTGCGATGGAATAGCCTGCACGCGTTGTGCGGTGCACCGAAATGATTCCTCCTCTTTCCGACCGACCGGTGTCTTTTCCCCCTCATCGTTTGCCGCGATGACCCAAGCGTCGCCTCCTCCTCCCAAAAACAAGCAGAAAAACGGCCGGGACAAGACTTACGTCTGAGACTTGACCTTTCCGGCACGCGCCAACGATCCGTGAACCTTTCCCATGTTGTCGGCTTGGGGTGGTGTTGCTGTGATTGATTTTTCGGTGAGTAGGGTTGTCGAGAATACTCGCGGGCGATGGGCGTCGGATTGCTTGCGATGGGGTGAGGGCAGGCTTGGAGCGAGGGCGAATTGTCCGTTTGTGTGCGTGGACCCTGGTCACGTGGGGGTGGGGCGAATCGGGCTTTGGCGAGCAGTGCATCCTTTGTTTTTTTTTTCCCTCTCCCAGCGATTGTTTGGCTTTGGCGGAGAGAATGGCCCGGCAAAAGTTCGGATTTAGGAGTTAGGACCTTCCCAAAGCGTCCGTGGCACGCCGAATGAATCATCGGCGAGAATTAGGGGTGATACTAGACTTGGCTTGACTGATTGGGAGAGGTTCACTAAATATTTTGACATATATGGTAAACTTTCACTCATGCTGTTTTGTCTATGGCATTCCGTCGTTTCCAGGCGCGCGCCGGGTATCTAATCATGTACTCATCCATAATGTACTAGAGCATCGATCTCACACATCCCCGTCCTCAGTTTCCTCCGGGCCAGGGATCATGGCCAGTGACTCCCATTCAACCTGAACGCCCGTCTTGGGGTGGGCGCAGAAGCCGTTGCAGGCTTTACACTTGTCCATCTTCTTGGACAGCATGTCCTCTAACGACGTAGGATGTAGCACCAGCTCCTTGGACTTAAGATTCTCGTTGATGAAGATGAATGGTCCGCGGTAGTCGCCCAGCAAGGTCTCTGGCAGGAGTGTCAGCTCGTTTGGGGTGTTCTTGCGGGCGACACTCGCAAAAGCGTCCCTAACGCGCTTCTCTACGCGGAACTCCCATGTGCCTTCCCAGCTGAGAGTTGTCGACCTGTCGTCTACAGTATAGCGGAAGACGGCGGCGCCGAACTGGTCCACCTTATAGAGCTCCAGCATTTTGAGTGCCGGCATGTGCTTTGCCGCTGTGGCTGTGAGGAAGAGGACGGCGTTGATGTTCTCGGGTTGCACGCCAGAAATCATTGTGTGGGAGGTCAGAGTCAGCAGGCGCAGATTTTGCCAGACTGGAGTTGTGGATTTGCGGCCGAGGACACCACCAAAGAAGTCCAAGGCGTCGGCAACATTAGATACGGCCATCTCTTCAGCTTGTAAACTGAGATATCCGAGATTCTGACCCAAGCTTGGACAGGCTGTTCTTGGTACGTCGCCCTGGTCCTCGGCGTCGTTGGTGTCTGCATTGCCGCCTCCATTTGCCCCTGCCGCAGCATCATCATCACTGTCGGAATCTGCGTCCTCCCATTCTTCACCACCGGCACCGTCGTTGAAGGCGTCAAAGTGCTCGAAGATGCTGAAGCGCTTGATATACGACGGCCAAAAGGGTAGACTTCGCGCGTGGTCTTTGAAAGTTAGCGTCACATGCGAGCAATTATAAAAGGGGGGCAAGTACCTGAGTCAACCTCCAGTTGTGCCTCCATATCCACTTGATGCCATGGCTCATATCGAACCTCCCTGAGATTGGGCAGACTCGAGTAGATGGTGAGAAGCGACCGGGATGAAAAGTTGCGATGATTCTGTCTAAGCACCTGACAGCTTGACACCACGGAGACCTCCGGCAACCCGTGTCGTCCAATCTGCTCGCATGCCGCAGTGATGAATGAAAAGTCCAGATCATGATCGAAGAATCTCGAATTGCCGTCTTGGTCGAGGCCCGCTTCCCCAAAGTACTTATTCTTGTCGCTCGGTGAAGCAGCGCTCAACTCGAGCTCGATGCTACCTTTCCCCGTCGGCTCCCACTTGCTGAGGATGTCGAAAAAGTTCCAGATGGCCTGCGTAAAGGCGATCTCGTTGGCGTTCTGCTCTTCGTCGGTCTCGGGGACCTTGGCGAGCTTGAGGGCATAGCGGGGTAGCTCGATACGCAGGGCCAACCGGCGAAGCAGCGAGCGGCGACGGGGGTCCTGGGTCAGCTCGTCGAAGCGCGAGAGATCCTTGGCGGAGTTGATCTCGAGCGAGCTAAAGTTGATCTCCTCGATGAAGCCCTGCCACTGGCGACATACGACGGCGTAGCTGCCCATGTCGTGGCGGTTGGCCTTACTCCGCCAGATTTTGGAGCGACGCTCGGCGACGGCGCTGTTGGCCAGGTGGCCGAGGATGAGGCCTCTGAGCTCTACAGGGAGACCGTTCCATGTTGCCATCTCGGTCTGTGTTTCCATCTCAATCTGGGACTTTTTGGTGTCTGCGAGAGCTCTTGTCCACTCCTTTAAGTCCGTGGCGGACGAGGTCGACTGAGATGAGATGCAGTTTTTCAGTGGGGTTGATTGAGAGTGAGACAACGGATGCTGCCGAATGCCCTCCTTCGTACCACAGAGGGCGCCGAATGAAGATCAAACTCGAGAATCTCCCCCGGTGACCAAGGCGCGCCTTCTATAGCGGTTCAATGTCGTCGCGTCGTCAAAAGAAGGGCTCAGTTTGTACAGTGTTGCCCCCCCTACGTCGTGGTGGTGTCTTTGTTGGCAGAGCGCGCCTTTCAGATGCCCCGCTGAGAAAACACTGCTCCACCAATCAAAGCTCGCTAGCGACAAAGCCCTCCTTCCCCTCCAGGGACGTTAGGTACCTCTCTGGGTCCCAGGCAAATCAGACCCTTTTACATCTAATCAGGTATCTACGTAATGCCATGTGGTATGCATAAATGACCAGACGTCAATTTGCTTCGAAGAACTTTGTGTGACATTTTGGAAAATCCCCGTTCAACGCTATTTGTCTGACGCAGCCGCTCCTCGTGCTCATTCCAGATGGTGCATTCCCGGTCTGCTCTGCATGTGGCTGGCGCTGAGGGCAAGAACCGGAGGGGCATACGCTGCGATTTCCGCGCGAGAATGATTCACTGACGGCACGCAGATCTGAGCAAACCATGTTCTGTGTGGCAGGCTGTTCGTCCTTTCGTCCTCCCAACCAACCCATCAACATCACACATGCTCCCGTATCGAACCACTTGCTCCCACCATACATCGCAAATGATCATGCAACATCTTCCCTGCAAGGCACACACATATACACGCACACGTACACACAAACTGGTCTAACCTTCTCGGCCCAAGGCCAAGTGGGAGACCGACGCTCAACAAGCGATAGAGAGAGGGAAAAATCAACCAACCTGCAGGCTCGCATACAGCGGCCGATGCCCCTACCCATGCCCGCATGATGAGCCTTCCCAGTGGGAGACCCAGCAAAAACCTTCTGACAATTTGGCGCTAGGCGACGTTTGGCTTATCAGATCTAAACCACCCCGGCCAAGCGTCTCATCCCAGACATCACATGTCCACTCTTCCTCCTCATGGCCGCTGCGGAGTCTGCTTGCTAAACCAAGACCTGAGGTAACCTACTGACCAACCCCTACCTAGCCAACCTCCGTCCCCATCACGCCCGCTACAGAACCCGACTCGTCCAACACGCCGTGCTTCGCTCGATCCAGGGCTCTATTGCGATTTCTTCATTACGTACCCCGTATATTGCCGCCCAGCGCGGACCCCGACCGAACAAGACCAAGACCTCCGTCTCAAAAGAACCTCCAAAAGCAGGCATCGTCCCCGCGCCGCATCTGCACTTCAATAGCCTCTCGCCCTCACCTAGGCGACTTCCCAAGACAAACTCTTGGCCCTCCTAGCCTTTCCGACCCGCCAGCCCAACCTCGTACGATCCGATCCCGTCCTCCCCGACCGACCGACCGAATCAAGGAAGCCTCAAGTGACGGACTACATAAACCGGCTGCTACCCCCCTCGCACAACCACAGTTATTCTCTTTTCTCTTTCCCCTCTAGGACAACCACCGACCGGCTCTCTGAAAATGAAGTCCATCGCCTCCCTCCTCGCCCTCGCGGCCTCCGCCTCCGCCCTCCTCCCAGCGGGAACCCCCTCCCACATCCTCCAAAACCCAGACGATGCCGCCGACGCCCTCACCCGCATCCCGTCCTCGTACGAGTCCGCCGTTATGGCCCGCCGCATCCTCGCCCACACGAAGCTCGCGGAGCTCTCTACGGTCTTCCCGGCCGGCGCCCACTCCGCCTCCGGCTCAGATCTCTCCGGCATGCCCATCGGCCTCATGGACTACGTCGCCGATTGCGAGGACGAGGGAAACCCCACTATCCTCGCAATCACCATCGCCACTTCGTTCAAGAACGTCCGCGCCGGCTCAAACATCTCCCTTTCCATGCACTGGGTGCCGCCCTTCCCCCCGGCCAAGCGCATCTCTCTCCTGTCCTCTCTGAAGCAGAAGATCTTTGGCGGCGACCAACAAATCATGGACGGCCCCGATACCGTTCCCTACTCCGCCGCGAACCTCCCCCGCTTCTCCCTCATGGGCTACCTCGAGAAGATTCCTGTCGACCCCGTCACCTCACTCAAGCTCGCCGGCTGCTTCGTCAAGAAGCACCCCGACAGCAAGTACTGGCTCCCCGGCAGCCCCGTCCACGAGTCCGAGTGGGTCCGCTTCGTCGTCACCTCCGTCTACTGGATCGGCGGCTTCGGCGACCGCGCCTACATCGGCTGGATCCCCCTCGACGAGTGGCAAAAGGTCACCCGCGACGAGTACGAGGCCATCAAGCTTCCCGGCGAGGAGCGCGGCTGGAAGGAGTGGAGCGTCGACAGCTGGTTCGACGGCAGCGACCTCTAAGCTGGAGTGGGTTGGGATGGGGGAGAGGAAAACGTTTTCGTGATGCGCAAACGAAACAGAGGAGGCTATTTGTTTGTGTGCGTGTGCGTGTGATTTGGCATGATACCAATGTAAAGCTCCCAGATTGTGACGATGGATGGTCTGCGTCGTGTGCATTACTTGCGATGATGAGTCTTTCGAGCCCGTGGTGCGGCTGTTTTCAGTGTAGCATTCTTGGTTTACGTATCCGTACCTACCTTACTTGGCCTGCAGTGCCACGCGACATAGCACACCTTCGTTAAAACATGCATATAAATTGTTTTACTTTTTTGCAACGGTCAAGCCACGAACCGGCGCCGCTTTCCCTATTCAGTGCAGCAGCGTCTGACACCCACGTTACCTTCAAATGTTACACAACCGATGGGCTGAGGAGAGTTGATTATCTTCTTTACAGCGTATTTGTATATCAGGGGGTATCTCGCACTGCCGCTTTTACGTAACTATGCAGACACCTCGTTCCGTCTTTCTTCAGTCATTCCTTGGAAGCAACGCTTTATATGCCTCTCGTGTGTGCATGTGTACGTCGTGTACTTCATGTAGTTCCGTCCCTGTCCCCGGTACGCCCAAAAGAAAATTAAGAAAACACTGAAACCGTCTGCTGTCAAGCTTTTACATGTACAAATGAAATAAAGGGGGGCGGCCTTCTACTCGACACGAATAATGACCTTCCACGCCAGTGCCCCGGCCTCTCTGATGGCACAGGCAAGGCAGCCTCGTCGACGTCGCGAGATGATGGCGTTCCAGCCCTTCTCGGCGCAAAAGGCACGGACGAGGATCTCCATGTCGCTACCAAACTGACGGCGCCGCGACTCGAGGTGCATCTTAGCCGCCGCGAGGCTGGCGCCGTTAGCGGTCCGCTCCAGGATAGGCGACGTCGGAGTCTCTTGCGTCGGCGGCTGACGCGTGATACCCGTGATGCAGTCAATGACCAGGACCCGGGGTGTCGTATTAATGATTGGCGTGAGAGAGGGGCGCCGGACTGAGGCCGTGTTGAGCAGCAAATCGTCCAGCGAGGCGGCCGACTTCTCGAGCAGCTCGGAAAGGTGGATCACCGTGTAAGTGAACATTTTGTGCAGGGGATGCCCTGGAAAGAGTCAGTATACGTGGCTGCGCGGCGAGAGAAGTAGGCAACTTACCGGTGATGGTGGCAGGGCTTGAGCTCTTGCCGCCGATGCCGGTGCCGTCCACATCGATTTGCTGGATTGTGGGGCTTGAAGGCGACCTCATCACCTTGACATGAGATGATGGAGCACACGGATGCGCTGTAACGAAATGGATATCGTTGGACAGCGCAAAATTGTGCTCTTTGGACTCGCCGCCGAGAGAGCCGACGGAAAACGAGATGGAGGACGGATAGGTGTGGATCTCTGAGCTCCGAGTCACATCAGAGAGCGGAGTCACGAATTCCTCAGTGGGTGTTGTGTCAACCGAATCCACAGGCGCAGAGAGATTCAGAGAGAGGAAATCAATGGTCAGACTGGGCGGCGGTTCAGAGTAGTTGTTCTCGTACGGAATGATGAAGTCCGCAGGCAAGACAGAGCTGGGATCAGCATCCCCCAGGACGCATGAGTCCCGCTCAACGTGTGTCTTACCCCAAAGCCGAGCTTGTCTACCCGTCTTCTTCATATCGGCTGTTACAAGAATCAGCAATCACGCACAAATCAGAACTGTCTGTTCACTTACCGGAAACATCGGCAACGTCAATGTTGATCCAGCCTTCGCCGTGGCCTTGAGGCGTGATGTCGCTTGAAATCCAGCCCATGCATTGAGCAGAGCCCTTACCAGCTGCCAAAACACGGCCAACGATACAAGCTGTGCTCCAAAAGCTTTTGCCCCGGTAGACAAACCCGCCACAGAGATTGGCCATTGGCCCCAGCTTTGCCATTGCTTCTTTATCGTTTTCCAACAGGGTGGACATGATCAAGTGGTACAGTCCCTCGCCAGGAAGCATGAGTCCCGACACATAGGACTTGGAAAGCCAACCTGACGGGTGGAGAGCCGCAGAAACGCCACGCTTGCCTGACGAATGCTTCGTGACGCTGGCTTCTGCCCTGCCGCCACCAAAGTAGGACGACCTCCGCGTGTCAATACTCAATGGGGTTTCCGCGGGCGTATGAATAGGGGTTGCCTCCGACACCTTCCCCACGGTTTCTTCGATTTGCTCGGCGTAAATGTCCGATTCGATATCAGGCCATCGCAGTTTCCGCGCAAAGTGTGTGAGGCCGTTCACTTGTCTCTCGCTGTAACGACCCTGGATAGTGTAAATGGACATGCTCTCTCCTGAGTTGGCATGGTTGTTGTGATGGTGTAGGCTCATCTTGCCAGTTAACGAAGCCAGCCAGCCGCCAGAGTTGCGTTTCTGGCCAACATTGGCTGGGTCGACCTTGGCCTCGACAATCTCGATGTTCTCTAGCCAAGCCCGCGCAAGGTGTAGCGACCACTTGACGGACTGGTTCGCGTCCTTTTCGAAACGGTGAATCTCGGCGG